GGCTCACCTGCCAGTGGTCCTAACCTGACATTGTGAATGGGCTCCCTTGACCTGGCACAGTGCAGACCTATCTTCTCTTGGCTTGCGTCTCTGATGGGTAACTGAATGCCAAAGGACTCCCACTTGAACAATGCACTTGCAGAAAGGAAGCAGCTGGGCTCTGGAGATTCAGTTCCTTTTGCTTTTCTGGCTTAGAAAGCATAAAAGAAAGGGAAGAAATTAGGGTTTTTGTTTGTTTTGTTTCTGTCCTCTTTTGGCTACTTTTGGGGTTTTTTGTTTGTTGGTTTGGTTGGTTGGTTGGTTTGGTTGGTTGGTTTGGTTTTCTCGAGACAGGGCTTCTCTCTGTAGCCTTGGCTGTCCAGGACTCGATTTGTAGACCAGGCTGGCCTCAAACTCAGAGATCCACCTGCCTCTGCCTCCCTGAGTGCTGGGAACACAGGCATGTGCCACCGCACCCAGCTTACTTTTGGCTACTCTTGATTGAATCTTGTAGCAATATTTGCATATAGAACCACCAACCACAGAACCAGGCCAGTGCACGTCAATGCACTTTTTCCTCACTAAGACATTAGCAGAACAGGTCAAGGGACCATAAGCCACCGTCCGGAGACAGGTGCAAGCTCTAACTAGTGGCAATGGCCACCTCTAGGTGTGCCGAGTGAATGCATCAGAAAAGTGGGGGAGCACCTGGAAGAGACTACCTGTGGTTTTCTCTTGAAGAAAAATAAAGCTGCTTTTAGCCAGTCTGGAGCACTGAGGAGGTGTGAGAAAATCATGTGGACTGGCCCACTCTGCAGACCTTTGGTTTACCTTGGTTTGCAAAGGTGATTTTCATTCAGTGCAGACTTCCTTTCAAAACAGGATAAAGACGTTTTAACCTTCAGATAGTTCATAAATATAAATAGTTCACAAATAAGTATTTGTCATTCCATAGGGCTGTTGGTGCTGAATCAAGACTGGACAGATACAAGAAAAGATTGGGGCAGTAAAATGGTAGAATCCGTCTTGATCATCGGATGACCTTTCAGGAAAGAAGGTGGGGACATTAGCTTTTTCCCCTTAGCTCTCCATTTTTTTTTTCCTGTCCCTCTTACTTTTTGCCCTTTATTTTCATTTGAAAGTTAATATGCAAACTCAGCATCTTACAGCCAATGCTATAGGCTCTGTGCCAAGTAGAATGCTGAATTCTGGAATTCTGACCTTCTACATTAACAGAATTCCTAGAAAAAGGTATTATCTATCTATGTTTAGGGCTTTTCTAGAGTCATGGGTGTGGGGCAACAAAGAAATCTGAAGCTATTTGAAGAGCTGTGTCTTGCTCTGTGCTGTGGCTGACCCTTCATGTGGGCCAGTGGGACAGCACAGTGCTGGCTTGAGGTCAGACTTGCTGGATGTCAGTTCTGGTGAACAAGTCACTTGAGCATTTGACCTTCATTGTGTTTCTGTGAAACAGAGTAATATAGCATATGCCTATTGATAGTACTTATGTTGTACCAGAAATAAGAAGCTTTGTAGCCGGGCGAGCTGGTGCACACCTGTAATCCCAGCATTCAGGGAGGCAGAGGCAGGCAGATCTCTGAGTTCGAGGACAGCCTGGTCTACAAAGCGAGTCCAGACAGCCAAGGCTCTGTTACACAGAGAAACCCTGTCTCAGGAGGGAAAAAAGAAGCAGCTATGTAAAGCACAGTGGCTATCATTGGAAATGACCCCATAAATGCAAAGTACTATTTACCTACTATCATATTGTAAGAAGAGACCTGCTTCCACAGGCAGTATGGAAAGTAGTAGTCCCTTCTTGGTCTGTGTTTATCACCTTAGTTCCCAGCCTAAGTCCCTCCGCTAGCCCTCTTGTTCTTCCTCCTCACTTACTGCTCTAGGCCTGATGATGTTATCTTATTTGGTCTTTGCAAACATGGGATGAATTCCTCCATTTTTTCCAGTAATAAAACTTGGGGGCCAAGAAAGGATATATTACTTGCCAAAGTCTTGAGTCTAGAAAATTCCTTTGTCTTGCATAAAAAATAGTTCTAATTACTTCATGAGCCTTATAAAATAAGTTAAAAGGAAAGTACTGAGAGGCACAGACCCTAACTGATTTAGTTAAAACAGGGTCCCTGCCACATTGCACTTCATCTACCAGAGGTAATATTCCCCAGCTCACTTCTTTCTCAAAATCCCATGCCAGGGTTTTCTTTCTTCATGGAAAGAACTTTAGAGACCAAAGAAGACACGGTGTAGTCTCGGCTCTCGTGTCTCATATGTGACCTTACACTGCACCAAGGCCTTACGGAGGCCTGCGCCTTCTTCAGTACAGTGAAGAGATAGCTCTAAACTTAAGAGTCTCAGCTGTTGTTCCCTAGGATATAAATGTCTAGTGACATTTAGACCTTGCTGAGTGACCTGCTTGCCAATATCTTTGGTAATTTGACCCCTTCTCTTTCACTCAGTGCCTCACATTAGAATACAGGTGTTATTTCGGGAATTGCCTAAATCTTCTTAGAAATGCTAGGGAAATACGCAGCATGGGAAGTGTAAACTTTTTCTAGTGACAGATCACTTGAATACCTTTGTGTATGTGCCCAGGCTAGGTTTGGAGGACCTGTGGTCCCTCTACCACTACAGCCCCAGCGTTCAGCTACATGTGGGCGATAACTCAGGGAGTGCAGCAAACACCTATTCTCTAAGCCATTTAAATCCCTAAGAACCCTTGCTCTTGTGAGTGGGAAACAACAGAAAATCTTTTGTAATCACACAGGACTTAGATTAGAAATGAAGAGTGTCTTTATTCTGAGACTCAGGTTTATCCCTCATCTCTCCATTGCATATGTGACACTAATCTGCACATTTCTAAGCTAGCTTTAAAAAATAAGCAGCCTGGTTCTGCCAGGAAACTCCATTCCCAAGCTTCTTTTGGTCTTCTGCTTTTGCTACTTGTGGACTTGTAACCAAGCAGAAGTCAGGTATTGGTGAGATGTAGATGCTGAGAATTTTTAAATGGGCCAGCGGGATAGGAGTTATGCCATGGAGTCCACTTCAGCTGTAGTTAGCTGAACACCACGTCTGCTGTTTGGTCCTATAGCATTATAGATACTGGCTCTGGTGGCACACATCTTTAATCCCAGCACTCAGAGAGGCGAGCAGATCTCTGTGAGTTTGAGGCCACTGTGGTATACATAGCGAGTTCCAGGACTGTGTATGTGTGTGTGTGTGGTGTGTGTGTGTTAGCATTTAGCATACATATATATGCATATATATATTTTAGCATTATCACTGAGAAAAAGATTTGAAGACTTCAAGTAAGTACCTTGTGTGACTTGCTTCCTGTCTCTCTGCCACTTTACCCCAGTCACAGCTTTCCACACAGATTAGCAAGGCATGTGTGGACCACTGGAGAAGGTGTGAAGTCATTTATTTTGGGACTCACGACCATGTATTTGACTGTTTGGCCTTTTACTGTTTCTTTAAGAATGTTGCAGAGTAGGCAAAGGCAGATGGATCTGTGTGTTCCAGGCCAGCCTGGTCTACATAGCAAGTTTCAGATGAGCCAAGACTGTACAGTGAGACCCTTTCTCAAAAACGGCAAGGGTTGGGGAGTAGACTTAGAGAGGTGACTCAGTAGTTTACTAGCATTAGCTGCTCTGGCTTAGGACGCAGGTATGGTTCACAGGACCCATATGGCAGCTCAAATCATCTGCAGTGCCATTTCGAGGGAATCTGATGCCCTCTTCTGACCTCCATGTGAACTAGGCATATATGTGCCGCACAATGTATATGCAAGCAGTACACACACATACATTTTTAAAATGAATAAACATTGTAGATGGTCATGATCAACATCAAACTATGAAAGTTCTAACTGAAACTAGATGCGTTATGGCATGTTAGTACATCCGGACCAGGTAGGTAAGAGTCACTGTCACCAAAAAAGACACTGATGTACACAAATGGGTGCTGACAAATCAATAATTTTTCAAAGTTGGTGGATCTGTGGTAGAATTTTCATGCAAAGAATTGAGCTCTTTGAAAAATGTTTCAGTAATATAAAATGAAAAAGACTGGAATAATAATTCATCTGTCTTATCAGTGTTATCACTGGGCATGTTTGCTCATCAGTACATTAGTCTGCTGGTGAGGCAGCGACTGTGTGTGTGTGCGCGCGCGCACATCCATCTGGAAGTTAGCTTTCTGCCAGGTGATGTTGGCCCCAGCCTTTAATCCCAGCACTCAGGAGGCAGAGGCAAGTGGATCTCTGTGAGTTTGAGGCCAGCCTGGTCTACAAGGCAAAGTTCCAGAACAGCCAAAGGCTACACAGAGAAACCCTTCTTGGGGGGGGAAAAGAAAAAGGAAGTTAGCTTTGCTTAATTGTAGCTCAACTCAGAAGATTCTCAACCAGAACTTACCAATGCTGCTTTAGTGCTGAGGAAGCCCTTTGGTGCATAACAGTCCCAATTGTCCTGGGAAAAAGCAACAGATTACAATGGCTGTGTTTGCCTGGCTATGGAAATAGCTGCTTTACTTAGCACTTAGGAACACTCTGGAGCGCCCCCACCACCAACTCCCTTAACTGCTCACATACTTCTTAAAGGATATAGCTTCCTTAGTTTCAAGAGGCAAGAGGATGCTTGGGTGAATGGCGAAGTTGCTAGGTATGTGAGGAGGTGAGGGATGGAAGTGCAAATGGCAGTAGTGACTCCTCCCTTGAAAGGGACTGATGGATGGTAAGCTCTGATATTTAAAGATTATTCAGCTGCCTTAGTTTGCTGCTTCCTTGTCTACTAGACTTCATTGAAAGGGTCTAAAAGAACATGATACACAAGTCAGCAACCTCTGTTAAATGGTGTGTGGCAAAGTGTTTTCGTGCAAATGGGTCTCCACTGCCCACATTGTCACTGTCCTGAGTGCTGACCCCACTCAGCATTGTGGTTGAGCATTGACTGTGGATAGCTGCATTTGAAGAAGATAGTTCATGCTGATAGTTCATGCTCTTTCCTCTCTTTCAGGTTTCAAGTGCCCCATTTGCTCCAAGTCTGTGGCATCCGATGAGATGGAAATGCACTTTATAATGTGTCTGAGCAAACCTCGCCTGTCTTACAATGGTAAGGACTGTCTGTCTGTCTGTCTGCTTCCTGATGTCAAGATGAGTTGGACAGTTGGAGGCATAGCCTCCAGGTGAGGGGGGCTTCTGTGTAGTTTTGGTTTTTTGTTTATTTGTTTGTTTTAGTTTTTGGTTTTTCGAGACAGGGTTTCTCTGTGTAGCCTTCTCTGTGTGACTGGCTTTGTAGACCAGGCTGGCCTTGAACTCATAGAGATCCACCTGCTTCTGCCTCCCTGAGTGCTGGGATTACAGGCCTGTGCCACCATGCCCAGCTGCTGTATACTTTTCTTTTAGCAGCAATATCTGTGGTGATGAGGAACCTGCTGTTCCAGAGAGCCTTGGTTATAAATTGGAGTAGCTGAGGTGAAGCCAGGGAAACCAAGTCCTGGGCCAAGGCTACAGTGCTGAGAAGGCTCTCAGCCACTCAGTCAGTCCTCTGCTCTCTGCACTTCTGTTCTATGGCCTTTGGTTGGGAGACGTGGCCATTCTTTTCCCTATTTATGCTGCCCCTGGCCATGGTAAGTTCCAAGACAATTGGACTCATTCTAAGAGCCATCAGAGGAGTCAAAAGAAAATACCATCTCTCCATGGGTAAGGAAAATGATGGTGCGGGAGGTACCCACAGGGTACCTGTTTTCTTTGTGGCTCAGGTGAGCACCTGGTTAAGCCACGTGACAGTAGTTGGAATGAATGTTCAGTTGGTAGGTTCATTTGGAGTTGAGTGCTGGAGGGTCTTTGTCCCTACCATGGCTTCCTGCCTAGAGGCTGCCCTGTAATTGAGGATGCGCCAGGCAGTGGTGGTGCATGCCTTTATTCCCAACATTCAGGAGGCAGAGCCGGGCAGATATCTGTGAGTTGTAGGCCAGCCAAGGCTGCACAGAGAAACCTTGTCTCAAAACATAAAACTAAAAAAGGCTTGAGTATGAATCCAGCAAAGATGGAATCATAGTCTGGGGGATTCTATGACACCTGGGTTATGCTAACATGTTTCTGGGGATAAAGTTGAGTGCCAGATCTATCTGGTATATTGTAGGTAAGTTTCTGTAGTTCAGATGATCAGAGGTCAGTCTTCCTCTGCCGCTCACTGACTATATAATTTAGACAAGTGCTGCCTTCATTTTCTGACCAACTTTTGCACATAGAGCCCTTTAGCACAGAGCTCAACACATAGCAGTATTTAGGAAATTGCAGCTGCCATGGAAGAAGCAAGGCTCCACAGCATTCACTGACTTCACGCTGCCCAGATGGTGGTGCCAGGGATCTCTGGCTTTCCATCCCTCTGTATTTGTCTGGTCTAACAGTGTTTGCCAGGAAAGTGTGTTCTTCCCTACAAGATGGATGCATGCTTTCAGCCCTGGCCCACCTTCACAGGTTAAAGTCAGAGCAGGCACTAGGAAGAGTGTGGATGCTCTGAGAGCCTAGGGAGGGCTCATGACTCCTATGCAATCCTGGAAAATAAATCAGAGGACTGTAACCTGCTTGTTTCTCTTAAAAAATCATCCTACCGCAGGCTGATCTTACATGAAATTCTTAGGGCCAGAAATGTTTTAAGTTTTGGAGTTTTCCCAATTTTTGAACATTTGTATAGACATAAATAATTATACACCTCTAACGTGAACAATCTAGAATCCAAAAATTTTTATTATCATGTCCCTACTCAAAAATTTCAAGGGCTACAAGTGTAGCTCTGTGGTAGAATGTTCACTTAGCATGCACAAGGCCCTAGATTCCATTCTAGTGTTCCAAATATAAAATATGGGGGGAGGTGCTAGAATGGAATCCAGGGCCTTGTAAAATATAATATTAAATATATTTTAAATTTTCCAACAAGATTTTTGTTCTTCTATCTCCTACTTGCCTACTTGTCTTATATCTCCTCCTGCCAGTTGCAGGAGGGTGTGCTATCTCTCTTGGTACATGTGGCCTGAAGACCTCTAGATGTGCAAGAGGGCCAGCTACAGGCCAGCCTGTGGCCCTGTCTTTGAACCTCTTTCTTCCCTAGCAGATAGCTTTTCCTTTTCCCTGTGACTGCCATCCTCCTGGGTCTGATGTCACTGCTTTAGCCAGCCTTCCCCTGCTCAGGCTCAGCTTTGTCCCTGTCTCTGCCTGGAACCATGGAAGGATGGGTCCTGTGTCTCAGAGCTCACCGCAGCCGAAGCTTCAAGTACTGCATTTACTTCTGTCCCACATGTGTTGAGACCTTATGAAGACTGTTTTGTCCTGTGGTCTGCTGGCGAGAGCTCTCTGAAGACACTGCCTTTGCTGTCACAGCACAAAGAAGCTTCAGATGGGTCTTGGCCTGAGAGAACTTGGCTGTTAGAATCCAAGGGGAGAAGTCTGTAATAATGTCTGTGGCAGAAACAAAGTCACCTCACATGATAAGTTAAGGTTTCTATTGCTGTGAAGAGACTGTGATCACGGCAACTCTTAACAAAGGGAAACAGTTAATTGGGGCTAGCTTACATTTTCAGAGGTTAGTCCATTATCATTATGGCTAGAAGCATGGCAGCACTCAGGCAGACATGGTGCTGGAGGAGAAGCTGAGAGTTCTACATCCAGATCAGCAGGCAGCAGGAAAAAAAATGAACTCCCTCCAACAAGGCCACACAACTCCAACAAGGCAACACTTCCTAATAGTGCCACTCCTAATGGATGTATGGAGGCCATTTGTATTCAGACTACCATAGTCCACTCCCTACTCCCATTGGGTTGTAGCCATATCATAATGCAAAATACATTTAGTCCAACTTTAAAAGTCCCCACAGTCTATCACAATATCAGCACTGTTTAAAAGTCCAAAGTTTAAAGTCTCTTCTGAGACTCATGTAATCTCTTAATTGTAATTCCCTGTAAAATCAAAATTAAAAGGCAGATCACATGCTTCCAACATGTAATGGCACAGGATATACATTACCATTCCAAAAGGGAGTGTAGTAAGAAAATACTAGACTAGAGCAAGACAGAAAACCAGCTGGGCCAAGTTCAAACTCTGCATTTTCATGTCTGATGTCAAAATGCTCTTCAGGTCTCCAACTCCTTTCAGCTTTTTTGACTGTAACACACTTTCTCTTGGGCTGATTCTGTCCTGCATCTCCAACATTTTGGGGTCTCCAGGGCAATCCAGGCTTCACTTTCACAGGTTCACACAATACCATCTCTCGGCCTCCATGCAGGAATACCCCTTATACATGCCTGGCCTCAGTGGCTTTCCTTAGTCACAAAGGGAAATTCCATAACCCCTTTCTTCTGTCCTTAACTCTAAAGCCAGAAGCATTTGGCCAAAGCTGCCAAGTTCTGCTGTTTGCTGGGACTAGAACATGGCGTCCTGGTTCAATTACATATTCACCAGCATTCTGTTTTTGATGGTTTCCTTAACCACCTAAGCTTGGCTATCCTAGAACTCACTCTGTAGACCAGGCTGACCTCAAACTTAAGAGATCCACCAGCCTCTACCTTCTGAGTGCTGGGATTATCTGAGTGCACCACTATTCCTGGAGCTAAGCTGTTCTTTAATTCCTTTTCACAAGTTGGAAGCTTGGCTGGATGGGGTCTCATTCTAAGGTCAGCACACTTCTTACTCCATTTAATATCAGGCTTTCCTTTAATCTGTTTATCTCCTTGACCACAGGATTTAGTTCCATTCTACTTCCTGGTACCACTTTTTTTTTTTTTTTTTTTTTTTTGAAGTGTATATCTTGTATGTCTTTCTTACGCAGCTTGTTCCTTTTCATTAAAGATCATCTTAAGTGTGAATACTAAGAAACACATGACAGTCAGTGCTATGCTGTGTTGAAATTTCCTCTGCCAATGCAACTAATCCAGAACTCTTCAATTTAGCCTCAAATAGACTTTTTGGACCAGGGCAGAAATCAGCCACATTCTTAGCCAGAATGGTCTCTAGGCTACATTCTAACATTCTTCTCCTCTGAAACCTCTTGGGCCAGGCCCCCGTTGTTCAAGTCGCCCTCAACACCACTGTCTTCCATGTTCCTACTAGGATTACTCATTAAGCCCCACTTAAAGCATCCAATTGCTTTTCTAATCCAAAGTCCCAGAGTCTGCATTCCTCCAAACAAATGCATGGTCAGCCTATCACAGCAATACCCCACTCCCAGTACTACTTCTGTCTAAGTTGGGGTTTCTACTGCTGTGAAGAGACACCATGACCATGACAACTCCAACAAAGGAAAACATTCAGTGCAGAAAGGGGGCTGTGCCACCATGCCCCCCTTGGACTCGGTCTTCATTTTTTTTTTTTTTTCTTTTTCTGAAGACTAGAGATAAGAGGACACTGTTTGCTACCTAGGTTTGTGTGTAGATTGGAGTGCTTAGAACATGTTTCAAATTCAGACAAAACATGAACTCTGGGGCTTACTTTGTTTTTTTGTTTTTTTGGCAACATGTTTTTCCTAGTTTCTCATCACCACAATCTCACATACTTTACCTTATCTACTTTAAAAAAAAAATATATATATATATATATATATATATATATATAACTCAGAAGTTAGCAGCTTGCCTGCTCTTTCAGGGGACCTGATTAAATTTCTAGCACCCACATGCCAGCTCACAGCTATCTATAACTCCAGTTTCAAGGAATTTAATGCCTTCCTTGTGTTAACACAAATGTACATACAGGTAAAACACTACACATAAATAGATCTTTAAAATAAAAAAAAATTTAAAGAAAAAAAATAAGGAGGAAATCTCTGGCTATAAAGCATAAGCTCTTAGAATCTTTCTGGACGGGGCATTATGCGGCTTTTTTCAGTGGTGATGAAGTTCTGTTTTCTCATGGAAGGTGACTGCAGGGGCTGGAGAGTTGCCTCAGTGCTTGGGAGGACTTGCTCTTTGTAAAGGACCCAGTTTGATTCTCAGCGTTCACATGGAGGATCACCCCCTCTGGACACCAGGACACACGTGTGGTGCACAGACATACTCGCGGACAAAACACTTCATACACACAAAAGAATTAAATCTTTTCAAAAACTTTTTAAATGA